CTATGAACATACCCTAGCACCACCAATTTCCTCAACTGAAATAGAATCTACACATCCCAAGTCATCTGGGTTGGGTGGACTAAGCTTCAGCTGTTGCAAGAACACAAAAGAATCTCAGAGTGCAACCAAAAGAACTTTCAAGCAGCATGAACAAATATTTCTAACAAGAAAAACTAAATATCTCTAACAAGAAAAAAAACTTTGAACAGAAGTGAACGTACGATAGCAACAGCACCAGTGGTGCGGCAAAACCTTCTCAGTTCAAACTTTGAGCTAATCTTCAGAACCATGAGTCTACAAGCAAGAATGTCAGAAATAAGAATTGACAGCAGAGGTTATGGATGCAATGAAGAAACTACTTAGGCAACCTGTTAATAACATTACTATAAGCAAACACAAGTACAGCATAACATGACCTCAATTTGTCCACATACTCTCCCACAACCCATACAAATGGATATATTCAAAGGAAGAATAAAACAAAACCACAAGGCAGAAAACTAGTGTACTTGTAACGTTCGCAGAAATGTAATGCCATCTCTCCAACAGCTGCCCCGCTAACAATTACTTTGGCACCAGTTTCTGCCACTGCCTTAATGAGCTCCTCGACTTTAGCTTCTTCAGTTTTAGCATAATTCTCTAGCTGCAAGGCAAAAATTAGGTAGTTGTTAATACACCAAGGCCACCACAAACTTCTTTAACTTTTCTTGTACAAAATATAAAGTCTCATAAAAAAGCAGATATATTCCACAACATTGCAAAGGACATGTAGACAGCAACAAAAAAGGCTATTCCCTCCAGACATACCTGTTCAGCAGAGTGAATTAGGACAGTTCCCTTGGTTTCAGTTGCAGAGGTATCAACACCACCAGCAAACACAACAACCTATGAGTGCATGAAAAAAAAACGATTTGAAATTGTTAAATTGCAAGGTGCAGAAATCCATTTAAAAAAATTAAAAGAAAAGAAAACATTAACAAATTCAGAGCAGCTTTGGATTAAATGTTACAGACCCAAAGCATAAAGAGACAGATAAATGCTCACCTTTGCCTTCTCCACTCTCTTTATGGTTCCCACAGTATCACCTTTCAAAACCATACCACGGACTATTGAAGAATTGATCAAACCTCCTCCCACAAGCTTTGCAACCCGGACATTGTCCACATTAAAGTTTACTGGGTTCTTGGGACATACTTGGATGCACGCCTAAAATGCAAGGAAAAAAAAATCATAATAAAACAACTGATAGAACAGCTAAGTGATAATTTAAAGAGTTTCAGTAAATGCATTTACATCGGCAATGAGGTTGCACAGAATATCTTCTTGTCCGAATTGCTTGCTAGCAACAGCAGCCTTCATCCGAAAAATAACTTGCTCCTTATTCCTCACATCCATGTTTTCAGAACCTGGCTCCACCAGTTCGCTTAAGATTTCAATTGCCTAAGAGAGCATTTGAAAACAGAGAGAGAAAAAAACATATCAAGTGAGGAAGGCACATGCAAACTACACTACGCTCTCTTCAATATAATAAAACAAGTCATTTTTGCAAATTTATCATAGCACCAAACAAACCTTGTTGATTGCTTTATTGTAACCGCTGATGATCTCACTGGGGTGCAGGCCCATCCTTATAAGCTCGTCCGCATTTTGAAGCATTTCTCCAGCAAAAGAGATGGTCAAGTTAGCTCCATCCCCAATTTCCTCTTGTTGGGCCTTGCCAGCTAAGACCAAAATCTTGGCAGCTGGATGCTGAACCTCGAGTTCATTTACAATGGTAGCAGCATCATTGGTGACAAAGAGTTTGTCCAAGTGATTAATAACCATCTTATTCATACCTGATCACAGCAAAAAAATCAAAGAAATAGCTTCAAAACAATTAATCCATGTAAGTAAGGAAAAATATATTGGAGAAAACCCAGAAAAGAAGATCCCCATACATGTGACTAAAATCATTTAGATTTGGTAACTGAATTCCCAATGTATGGACCTAAATCCAAGCCTTTCCTGCCTTCAATTTCAAATTACAAGTGCAAACATTGGTTTCTTTCTCACTTAACAGCTTTTAGATTCACTTGTCATTCATTGATAATTCAAAACAAAACACAGAAATGCAGCAAAAACCCTACTTATCCAGTAGTGGCACAGCACAAAAACTTGGAATGTGAGACAATCAAAAGCAAAAACCCTAAAGACACACAGCAAAAACCCAGAAAAGTAGAGGATCCAGAAATAGAAGGGAAGTACCGTTGGGGCCGAGAGAAGTGCGAGTGATAGCAGACAACTGCTTACAAGCATCGATGTTTTTTAGAACGGCTTCATCGAGACCTGATAAATGTTTGTGTCCTTCTTTTAACATTGATTGGATTCCATATGGTTGCATTGAGAACCCCATCTCTCTCTCTCTCTCTCTCCCCCCCTCTCTCTCTCTCTGATTTTTCTCTTCTTTTCTTTTACAGATAAACTAGAAACCCTAGCCCTGGAATAGAGAGAAAGAAACTTGAAAAGAGTTTCTCAAAGGTTTTACGTCCTTCACTGTGTTCTGTTGTGTGTGCAAATGGATGCAAGGGTTCAGAGAATACGCCCTAGAAACCTTGATTTTCAAAGTTTCTCAAAGGCTTTACGTCGTCGTTTCGAGTTTTGAAGGGTTTACAAAGTGCCGTTAAATGTTAAATTTGTTGAAGTCGTGTTTATTAAAAGTTCATTTTTTTATTTATTTTTAAATTATTTAAATACATTAAAAAAACACTTTAAAAAAATGAAAAGTAACTGATATTTCACTCAAGACATTCAGTAAACTTGAAAATTAAAAATAGAACATAAAAAAAATTATTGAGTAGAAATGGAACCAAACAACCTTGAAATTATTTGAATGGAATGATATGGTACTATTTAATTTTGTGTTAATTAAAACATTTTTTATGGGGGTTATTAATTATATCTAATAACAATATCATTATAATATTTTATTGATGTATAGTTGAGCCTTTACATGAAAAATTATTAATTAATTAAGATATTATTTAAATCAAGATTGAATAAAAATATTATTTAATCAAGATTATTGATGAACAGGGATTATAAAGTATTAAGTTCAAGAACATTACATTTTTATTTCTTTTCCGTTTCACAGACAATTTCAGTGGCCTTTTTAAGTGTTTTCTTTTTCTCCTATTTCATGATTCACAATAAGCCATGCTGAGAGAAGAATTTCTTGGAATGTTTTTAATTAATATACTTTAAATAAATGATAGTTAAATAAAATATAAAAAATTAATCTAAAATAACCTTTTATTTTACTACTCAAAAAACCTTAGTTTTTCTAAATTTAATTTTTCATTTATAGTGATTAATCAAAGAATGATAATGATAAAAAATAATTTTTATCATCTCTTTAGCTTTTACCTTTATTTACTGAATATATATAACCAACACAAGTTGGAAACACATATATTTTGATCGAGTACTAGTATATAATATCATCACATTAAATCACTTTAGATAAAAAAAAATTAATAATATTTGTGTTAAAATTATCATCATACTCAATTGAAATAGAATATCATTGAAGTTTACCAATTAACACCTCTAAGTTATTTTAATATTAATATCTTTATAATTTCAACTAAATCTATATCAAATAGTTTCTTTTATTTATATATGTAACATACATGAATTACCATTCAATAAATTATCATCGTCATTAGATGTGATATTAAGTGCCATATAAATATGTTATAAGATATTTTGTTAAAAAAAAATTGGATTATTGTTAATTTGATGTAATTATAACTAAATTGCATTATCATAATACTAATCAGAAAAAATCATATCAAATTTAATCAAAATTTCAAAATTTAATATTAAAACAAACCAGAAAAAATTAAACATAATTTATTATATGAAATCTAGTTGGTATTTCCATGCTCAATTGTATTAAATCAAACCCAAATTAATACAATTCATAAAAAACAAAATATTAACTTATCAACAAATCAATTCAATGTATAGTTCATCATGATTTTACTGTATTCATATCTTTTTATATAAAATCATTAAGCATAATTAATTATATTATTAGTCAATCCTAATAACATGCACAAAATCTATAATTTGATAGCCAAACATCAATTAAACATAATATATAATTAATTGAATATATTTTCATTTTCTATTATATCAAATTATATATTTTCATGTTTTACCATATCAAATCAACCCTAATTAATAATATTCTTAATTAATTAAATAAAATCTTAAATTTACCATAAAATTTAAATTCAACCTAAATAATTATTTTATTTTAATCAAATCAAATATAAATTTATAACAATTTAATATATTTACCTTTCTTGTATAAATAAAAAAAAGGCTGGAGAGGTAGTAAAAACAAAAGGAATAGTCAATTTTTAACTTAAAACACATTGATTAGAGAATATGATATATTTAATTTTTTTGTTGTTTCAAGGGCATAATAAAAATATTCAATGGATTTTTTTTTATAAATATTGTAAAAATATTATTCGATTTTAAAATAAAGAGCATATGATCTCTGTGTTATTTGATATAAAAAAGAGCTAAAACTTTAATTAATATCTCATATTAGAAGTAGGACATGTGTTTTTGAATAATGATATTTACTAAATGTTCTACTATAATGTTAAAATATGCTAATTTGTTAAATATTTTTTAAACAATATTATTATGCTAAATTTTCATGTTTATTGTGAATTTTTTTAATAAAAAAACCATAATCTAAGCACTTTTCCCAATGGAAACTATTTAGGTAGCTGACTAACTATTCTGGGTTGGGCTTGGCTACCCAACATCTAGGTTTTTATTGGGCCACATTTAGGCTTCACTAAAAGGCTCAAATGGTGGAATGTAAGGCCATGTTAACTCTACCCATTAACCGGACCCAATTACTATTGGATAATTACTAGCAAAGTTGAGGGGTGATTTCGTAGTTTTGTACCACAAAAATGAGAGCCCAAAACCCTACCTGTTAACCCCTAGACCATAAAGCTCAAAACCTCACTTTGCCAACTCTGTAAGAAAAACCCTCCACCGCTGTTCTTCACCTAAAGAACAGCAAACAATGAGGCCACCAAGGGGCGGCGGGTTCAGGGGAGGTAGGGATGGCGGGTTCAGGGGAGGTAGAGATGGCGGGTTCAGGGGAGGTAGAGACGGCGGGTTCAGGGGTGGACGTGGCGGTCCTGGCCGTGGTGGACGTGGCGGCGGGTTTCGTGATGAAGGCCCTCCTTCTGAAGTAGTAGGTGTGCTCTTTTTTACTCTATTTTTTCACTCGTTAGCTAGCTTGTTTTCTTCCCTGTACACGCTTTCTAGTATGGAGGTGTATAAATGTGTTTTAAAGTTTTGAACTTTGAAAGCTAATGATTGAGATTTCGCTGCAACTGTGAAGAATGGTAGCTGATATGTGAATCGAAGATTAAAACTTTTTAAAGTACTTGATGAAAGAGGGACTGGTGCTTGTTGGTTTATTGACGGTTTTTTTATTTTTTTGTAGAGGTTTCATCCTTTCTTCATGCATGTGAAGGAGATGCAGTGACAAAACTAACCAATGAGAAAATTCCATACTTCAATGCTCCGATCTTTTTGCAGAATAAGACCCAGATAGGGAAAGTTGATGAAATCTTCGGTCCCATTAATGAATCTGTGAGATTTCTTGCATTTCTTTATGTTACTAATATATTGTAGTAGCTTTCCATTTTAAAGATTTAAGTTTTTTTATGCTACGACTGCAGTATTTTTCTATCAAAATGATGGAAGGAATTGTGGCAACTTCGTATGCTCCAGGGGATAAGTTTTATATTGACCCGAGTAAACTCTTGCCTCTTGCAAGATTTCTTCCACAACCAAAGTATGCTTCTTGTCCATTTCTATGATACTGAAATAAAGCTCCTTGTTTTCCTTACTTGAACATTCTACTACTATACCATTTTGTGTTGCTTGTATTCTGTGGGGATTTGGATGTTTCTCGTGAAAACTTTGCCATTACATCATATGTGATACGTTGTCTTTGCATCGTAGGATATGGCTTAAGTTATTGTAGATTGTGCATATTAGATTCAGTGACTAATGAGTCAATTGGCTGGAAGTCGCTTAATTCCAATCTTGGTAATGTTGTCATTGGCTTGTTACGTGTCTATGTGTTGCTTGTAACATTTTCTAGAAATATACATGACAAGCACTGGCACCACATATTGTGATATATATCAGTTGTGAATTCTATACATGATGTACTGAGAAATAGCTGCAAGAGGTTTGCAGATGTTATTCTTCATTTGTGATAGTTTGTAAACATGCTATACCCAAGTATCAGAACATTTTAAGAATTACTCCGGACAAGCAACTGAATCCGTTTATGATTTTTTGCTTAACGTATAGATGGTTGTTACTCAAACTTAATGTGAGTGGGTTTATTCCAAGTATCTGAGCTGTGGAAGAAATTATTGGTATTGGTTAAATACTACATAATATTCTGCAATGATCAATCAAGTGTTGTGTGTAACTTAAGGATTTTTACCCTTCGTGTTATTTTGTTTAACATATAGATTCAATTGCTGAACTCAAATCCTCTTACCAGCCTTCACTCTACTGTATTCTTTTGTACTATATTTGCATACCATTGTCTGGTGTCTGACCATGCTCTCGGTGTTTAGAATCTTGTCTAGTTCAATCAAATTACTATGGTCATGTTTTTGTTACAGGGGACAAGCACAAGGTGGCAGAGGTGGTGGTCGTGGAGGAAGAGGCCGAGGTGGTTTTGGTGGTGGCAGAGGTGATTTCCGTGGGAGAGGCAGAGGCAGAGGCCCACCAAGAGGTGGTGGCCGTGGTCGTGGTGGTGGCTTTAGGGGAAGAGGGAGGGGATAAAACAACTTTCTGTAATATTTCCAGTGCGCTTGCCCTTTTAAGTTTTAATTTCAAGATGCAATGGGCAAACAACAATCAACATTTGGATTCTGACTTGAAGAGATTTGGTTTTCTGCAGTAGTTGTTGCAATGTAATTTTATTTTAAATTCCATGAATTGCTGATATCTTTCAGAATCCGGTCAGAGCTTTCATTCAGAAAATGGGAGGATCACGGTGCCTGTAGAGATTATATAGTGCTTTCAGGGGTTCTACCCTCTGTAATTCACTTAAGGTGGCGCGATCTTCTACATATTCTAGTTCGTGAATCATATCACTTTGTTCACACTGCTATCTTGATTTTTGTTTCCCTTTGAATAATTAGTCGGCTTCACTTTCCTCCCTTCTGTCCGTGCTAGCTGCCTTCAAGTATAAAAAAAGAGAAAAAAAAAATGGCATTAATTAGCTATTAGATCCTACTGCGCCATTACCCGAGCTGTGCGGATCAAGGAGGCAACTGTGTCTCTTTTGATTATACCTTAATCTATGGTCATGGATTTTAAGCAACTTCTCCAAGATTGGTGCCACCTTTTTTTGTATTATAGTGAGTGTCAACGCATTTTGATGAAAGGGTATTCAACCGATTCCTGAGTTTCAAGAATTGAATCTGAGATCTTGAATAGAAGCACACTGCCGAGTCTTATCTTTTCACTGTGGGGTCGACTCCATAAAGTTGTATTCAAAATCATATATAATATGTTTTGATTATATTTTATATGTCAATTGTTTTAAAAAAAAATCAAAATGTCGAACTAGATCAAATAATCTTAATGAAAATTATAATACATTGCAAAACTAATTTAAATTAGGCAAGAAGCTTAACAAAGCTAAAAAATAAAATAAAATAAAATAAAATGTTTACTCTTAACACAACCTAATATTCTTTATATAGAACGAACACAAACTCAGATAGGATAAGAAGTAATAAATTAGAAAAACAAGTATAATGCTAGCTAGAAACAACTCATTAATTGTTTTTCACATGTTTATAGGATTTCTAGCAAAACTAATTTGAGACTTGAAAAAAGATGAATAAAAACTTCTAATGTGATTGTTTGAAAGATGATAGTCTATGTAGAGAATAAAAAATAAAAATACAAAACATGATGTAGCATTTTAGTGAAAAAATCCAAAATATAAACCTAGTCCCATATTTTTTTAATCAAATCTAAGTAATGTAGCTAGTCAAATCCAATGAATTTGATTGATGCTAGGTTTCTTGAAACTTTTCTAGTGCGAACAAGCTAAAAAGCTACCATCTTGGGATTCTCCATGGGTTTTTGAAAGTTGAAACACATCTTAATACTGATTATGATTAGGAATCTAATCAAACCCTTAATGTAATTAAAAACTTGCAATGTTCAGAGATAAAGGCCTCAAGGCTGAGGTTTAAGAAATTGGGTGTCCAAGTTCAAATCATTCCACCCAAAAAAGCTTACAATAAAACTAAGGAATTCCTCCTTTCAAGTCTCTGTTCTTTGTAGGAGAATTTGCAGAGCGTAGAGAAACACCTTAGGGGTAGAAACTCAGGTGAGGAGGAAAGTAGGGCAATACATGTAACAAAACCTTGTTTAAACTCCACAAGTATAAGTGGCCCCGTTGAAGCCTCATCTTTATTCAGAGTAGCAGGCATCTCAGGCTTCCCAACCTCTAAGAACGGTAGCTCGTGCAACACGGTTAACACCTAGAGTGAAGGCTCCCATACGGAGATCACAATCATGGGTTTTGCACATTTCTTTCACATCTTTGAAACCTTTGGTCATGTAATTCTTTAGTTCGCTGTTCACTTTCTTTTCATCCCACATGAATCCTTGGATGTTCTGCAATGCACAGACAACAAAAAACATTATTAGATGTGCTACTGACAAGGAGTCCTGATTCAGTGTTACATGTAAAAAGTAGAGAAGGTTGTCAGAATATAGGGGAAAAAAATCCTAGAATTTGGACTTGCTTTTTTCTCCTCTTGATCATTCAAGTATTCAAAGTTGAATGTATCATCATAGAAAATGCGAATAAAAGGATTAGAAGGCCATGGTGACAAGCTGCAAGGAGATGTAGCTATCACAGATAAGCGACATTCTATACCTGCACCCACTCGAAGTAACTAACAGTAACGCCTCCTGAGTTAGCATAAATGTCTGGAAGAATAACAACTCCTTTCTTTGACAAAATCTGTGGAAAGACAAAAGAAAAACAATCATCATTTCACAAAATTTTGCGTGGCCGTCTATAACTCTAAACCTCAAGCAGGCACTAACCTCATCAGCCTCAGGGTCAGTTGGATGGTTGGCAGCTTCAATAATGAATTTGGCTTTAATATCATTTGCATTCTCCCTTTTATCAGACAAAAAGAACAACGTTTAGGTGAAAATTCACACTTTCAAGACCAATATAAAGGAGAAGGAATATCTTTTTATTAGAAACAAAATCTTATTTGCATTTAAAATCTATTTCAGAGGAAAATCCCTCGTCAGTGAATATTTTGATAAGAAAAGAGCTTCTGTTATGAAAAATAGACCTGTTGATGACACCTCCAAGGGCTGCTGGAATGAGAATATCACAGTCCTCGACTAGTATTGACTTGGGATCTATGGGATCCCCACCATGGAATCCTTTCACACCCTTATGTTCCTTGGCATGTTTGAGTAAGCTTGGAATATCAATCCCTTTGCTGTTCTTTATAGCTCCAGTGACGTCGCTTATGGCAACAATCTTCCCACCCTGTTCACTGATTAGTTGGGCAGCCCAGGCACCCACATTTCCGAAACCCTGAAACCAACACCTCCATTTAGATTAATTAACCTTATATGCATGAAACGTGCTAGGGCAAGCAACACAATGTCGTTGAGTCAATGATCAACTAAGCTGAAATAATGTTCAAAGTGCACCTGTATGACAAATCGTTGAGCTGATATGGTCTTCCCATGCTCATTAAGCAGGGCTTCTGTTGCGAAGAGCACTCCCTGTCCAGTGGCAGCATCTCTGCCTAGAGATCCACCAAGATCCTAATTTAAAACAAAGAAGAAGAGAACAAAAAGGACCGTCAATTTATTGCAAGAAAAAAATTTGCATCAAGACTAAATGCTGCAATTTTAAAAGATGCCCATTTAGATGGACTAGGAGAAACTCAGATAAAAAAAAAAAAATCAATACTAAAACCCTGTATCTCCCATCATAAACAAGAACATAAACTATTTAATGCATTAGATTAAATGTCAACACTCAGAAGCAAAGCAGAAAGAACTCCAAAATTTTCTGTCAAACAGCTGGATGGTGTATTAAAAAAATTAGCGAAAGTGGAAGGCTACAGGAAATGACAACTACACTACAATTAAGAGTTAAATGTACTTACAATTGGTTTTCCAGTAACAACAGCAGGTGAGTAGCCATGGAATTTAGAGTACTCATCAAGTATCCACGCCATAGTCTGTTTAACCAAATAACAAGCATATCTTAGTATAGTCATCAATGAAGTAAAAATAAACACACAAACTCTTTTCAGTTCATCTGTTTCATGCTACAAAGTAATATATCCTTGGCAACAAGACATGCTTTCAGTGCCCAACCTGTGGACCAGTTCCCATATCAGGAGCCGGAACGTCTGTGTGGATTCCTATCAGATCATGTATCTTCTGAGTGAACACCCGGGTAAGTCGTTCTAGTTCAGAGACACTTAACTCCCCTGGATCACATCCTATTCCACCTTTAGCCCCGCCATAGGGAATATTTGCCACTGCCGTCTTCCATGTCATAAGTTGTGCTAATGCATTGACTTCATCTGGATCAACCTAAAATCATCCATATTATTATCAGAAATCAAACTCAATATATACCTCTTTAGCCATGCTCTCTGCAAGATTTGACTGCTAAATCTTGCTAAAGAGAAAGAGAACTCGCTTTTGGCATTAAATCAAAATAATGCCACAGCTAAAGTGATAATGTAAAGTACCTCTGGGTGATATCTGATTCCTCCCTTCATAGGGCCTCTGGCATTGTCATGCTGAACCCTGAACCCAACAAAAGATGCCAAAGTGCCATCATCTTTGGGTATGGTGCATTCAACCTGCAATGTTTTTCCCCATCAAAGTCCATTACAACAGCAGGACACACATGAATAGGCCAGTTGTATAGGGTATTAAAAAATTATATAGATTTAAACAACTTCTGTATTCACCTTGATTTCTCTGAACGGAATAATCAAACTTTTCTCAAGCTTGGAGTCCAACCCCAACAGCCTAGCTGCCAGCTTGAAGTTCCTGTTGGTTGCCGCTAATGCATTCATGACTGCTCCCGAAACTGTCTGAAGAGCTAATCACAGAAGTTAGTCCCTTGTTTGTGGATAAAGACGAGGAAAATAGACCAATTTATAGCTTCCCACAAAGCAATCAGTCAAAGGCTACATAAAACAGTCATTTGAATATATTATGGAAGACAATACAAGAGATAGACTCATCCACATCAACAAGATCTAGACTCCATTAATGTAATGAGAAAACTAATTCATCAGCAATGCCATCAATTTACACCACGTTGTGTATTAAGAATCTGAAAATATAATATAGCACTTCTGAGAGGAGACTAATCAGGTTCATTTTTTGAGCCCGTCGAGGTCTTGAAAGGGCAAAATTAACAAATGATCATCGTTAAAACTTCATTGGTCAAAGAAGACAAACTCTTTAAAAAGCTTCATATATAATCATAATGGTTTATTATATACAAAGACCTAAGAAGAAATATGCTATGAGTTAAATATCATGGTCAAAAGAGTTCAGAAGTATCAGATGCAATGAATATATTCATGTAGTTTACAAGGCATTCAAAATCATGAAGCAATTAATCTTGCCAAGATCCCAACTCTTGAGGCTTGGATACCTTCCTTGCTCAACATTATCAACTAATCTCTATAAGCCTACAGATTAACGTAAATCAACCAAGACAATCTCTCTCTAAAGTGCGAAAACCATATAGAAAATTATGCAGTAAAGCTATGATTGTATTCTACTGCTGCCAATCAAAGAAACGCGGCCACGTTTTTTTTCTTTTTTTCTAGTTTTGAAATCCAACGGTATTCTTAGACAAGCTATCGGGGACCGAAATTAATGATCCGGTGATAATTTTGGATCAGTATCTTACTCACCGGAACTAAATCCACCGTTCTCCGGTTAACTCAAAGACAAGTCCACGCCAGGATCAAAGAACCATGGCACTAAAATTAAAATTGGAAAATGT